TGGAGCCACAGAGAAAGTGAGAATCTGACCAGTGAAGAGGACGATCACTGGATTGCTCTCTGCAGGAGTCACTTAAACAGCAAATTAAACAAAAAATCCCTAATATTTTGAAGGTATGCTATTGGTTATGTAGCAGCCTGCATTGCCCAGGTAGGATTAACCTCAAATCAGCCAGATGGGAACAAAGCTTCATGAAGAACAGAGGGAAAACAGGAAATATTTTGTCTTGACTGATGAACATGATCTTCTCATTGAAGGTCAGGGCTGTCCAGTGCTGGTAATTTTTACAGTGGCACTGGAAAGCAGTGTGATTTTGTGTGATTTGGGCTGAAAATGTTTTCTTATGCCCCTGCCCTTTGCTCTCCCAAAAGATAGGTATGAAGGTGGCAGACATTTGAATGGCTCTTAACAGTTTGTAGCCCTAAAAAAGAAATCTTTATTATTAAAAATAGAACAGAAGTACTTGTAGGTACTGCGTGGCACACAGGCTTCAGGTTTCCCATGGTCATATTTTGAGAGCAACTCAAAAAAGACATTGAAGAAGAGGTGAATATTGACTATTTATTCCAACTTTGACTAGGGAAAGGTCCTTCAATGACTTTTACATAACTGTCCTAATCCTTATGCGCTGTATTAAGCTAACTCTGTGTATTTTTAAATCGATATATTTATGCAAAAGACATACAAGTAGAATAAGTGAATCTCTTTCTTTGAAAACATGGAGATCTTTTCTTGTATCTCTTGATTGGAAAAATCAGATTTTTGCTGTAGTCTTAAAAATAACATCCAGAAGTCTAGACAGAATTGAATGTTAGCTGGCTGTCGTTAGGTATTTTCTTCATAATAAAAGAAGCTCTAAATATGAGTTAGCAGTGCATTAAATACCTTTCTAGTATATAAATTATTTAAGAATACGTGACAGATTTTAAATGCACGCTGACGTTCCCCTTGCACGTAGACATGTAATACCTATGCTAAAGAGGCCGGATTAGAAAAGATTGCTGGAGAAACAGTGAAATAGCTTAAAAAATGAGAGGAAATGGTGACAAAAAAAGCTATTTGAACCAGATTGATCCAAGCGAAGGAGTCTGGCTTAAAAAGTACCGAGCACTCTCTGGTTTTGCACTTTGACAGCAGTCTTTTTTTTTTATTTTTAACCTGCGAAACTGTGATACTATAAAATTAATTACGAGTGGCCAGCAGCTCTTCAGAGGTAACAGTGAACACAACCTAGCAAAGTAACAGCAAGCAGGATGGGAAAAAGGATTCATTAGCAGAAAGGCCAAGAGGAAACATGAATAGCGAGCGCGTTGGAAGTCTTCCCAATGCAGAGAAATTGGCTCCTAAACTGCTGTAGTTAAATTTAGTGCAGTTTTCTCCTGGAGGGAAGCAATATTGACATTTGTGCCCAAGGATGCTGCTATCATTTGGAAGCATTAATCACTGTATCTGATATGTAAAATGTAGCTTGAGAGAAAGGGGAATTAATCTCTTTTCCCTCTGCAGTGTGGACTGGATATGAATCAGCAGAGGAGGTTTAAGGCAGATGCTTGGAAAAAAACTTTCTAAGAGTAAGGAAGGCGAAGCACTAAATCAGATCACCTGTGAGGGCTGCAGAGCAGCTAGATCAGTGATTGACAATTTTGTTGCTTTGTAGACCCTTTCTACCCGTTTTCCCATGGAGAAATACCCTTTGCAGTCAAGTTTACTGACACCAAACTTCGGTTTTTGAAGTTATTATCTCTGAGCATCACAAAAACCCCTGGCCCACGTTTTCCATGGCTCAGTGCCTTCTTTGAAGGAATGGTAAGTAGAGGCATTTAATCCCTAAATCCATTTAATCCCTAAAAGTAAATGGATGTAGCATCGTTGCAGCTGAGCTGTTCCCCTGACTTGTGGTGCAGTCATGTAAGTGGTGCTGAAGCAGAATTTGGGTTTAGGTGACCGGTGAGAAATGCAGGATGCCGGACCGAGAGCGGACGGGGAACCTGGCACTGCTGCTGCTTCCACCTGTAGCATTTTTCCCTCTGGAAGAGCTGTGGTGAAGGAGCTCTGGGTCCTGCCTCTGGTAATAATAAATTGGAATTTTTGCATAGAAATCTGCATCAGCATCATGCGGCAAAACCACGGTGGTTGTTCCAGCCCTGTAGGAAACGTCTGTATTTCCTTCTGTCCATCATCTGCCTTCGTTCCCCTTGGGCTTTTCTGTTTTGTTACTGGCATGGTATCTTCCCTATCCATCAGTCCGGTGCCTCCCATTAAGCAGCTTTTCTTGATCGACTAATGAGCTGCTATTTTGGGTAGTGCTTTTATCGCTGTCTCTTCTATTGCTTGGCTAGGTTTTCTGCGTTTTCACTTGTTGGTGGCCCATCTCTTGCTGCTGTGCTTACTCTTATGTGCCCGTCACCTCACTGGGATTTCTTTGGCTTGTCGTTGCTCTTTCCCATCATTTCCTCGCCCACCCCTTCCCAGTTGCACTCCCCCTGCTTCATTTGGGTTTGAGTCTTTTTCTCATTTCTCCCCATCACTCTCCTCCTGTGCCCAAAACTCTCTTTCAAATAATCCTGAAGTAAACAGAGGACAAAAGCATTTCCAGTGATCCCACCTTCATAGAGCCGTGGTGGGGTGAACCACACCAGTAGGTTCCCAGCTCTGTTCAAGCACTATGAAAGTCTACTGCACATTAAAATGACAGATAGAAGAGTAATTTAGGAAGCTGTTTGCAAGTTAATAGGATTGTGGCAGTTGTTTAACCCACAGTGATAAAGCTGTTCAGAATTAACGTGGTTTTGTATCACCTTTTTGTGTCCCAGTGATTAGCAGCATCACATTCCAGATGCAAGCTGGCCTTTTAATCCAAATAATAGCTTTCTCCCCATCGCACATCAGTACAGCCTTACCACATCAGCATGTTAAATGCAGTAATGCTATTCTCAGAAGATTAAAAGAAATATTCCTACTTTCATCTGCCTCGCATATCCCGAGGCTGTAAGGTATTTCAGAATTAGCATAAATACCGGTCTGGATGTGCTCTTGCAGTTTGTACTTAAAGGGATTGCTGTATTCTTGACACCTGCTTATTTCACTCTCCAAAAATGTAACCTGGGAGAATAAAGAAGTAACCCAAGGACAAAATAAAGAGCTTTCTGAAGGGTTGGTTGCGTCCTTCTGATGTGCAGTGGCTTTAGTGACTTAACCCATAGCCACTGAGATGGGCCCAAGACTGGAAAAATTAGAACTTTTTGGGTCATTTCATGCTGGTTACACCAGTGATTTGTTCAGGTATCCGTACCCTCCAGAATGTATTAATGGCAATACGAAAATAGGGCATCTGCGCTTGTCCTGCAGTTAATTCTGGTGTAGCACAGTTGGGTGCATGGGGCTTGGTCGTACCCTTGGAAACCGATTGGAAACGCAACAGGGTGATGCCCTGTGTCTGTGTTTGATGTGTTTGGATGTTCATAGAAATACACTGTTAGGAAAATTAGCAATTTTTTAATCATTAAAGCCAGAACTAAAAGGTCTCTGTGAGAACGTTTGGCTGATGTCCATATCCAAACAGTTAATTGCCAACTCTGCATTTCCTACATGGAGGAGTGGGAGAGATTGGAAAAAAAATAGGGAATACAGTTGCAAATACATTTAACAGTAACTTGTGGAGAGATTCATGGCAGTCACTCACTGGAAATTAAATAGGTAATGGTTTGGATAGAATTCTTCTTGTGAGAAATCCCTATATTGCAGATTTTGTGCGTGTGTGTGTAGATATATATAATATATACATGTATATATGTGTGTGTGTATATTACCCTTATACAGTGTGGTCTGCTTCTGCTGAGTGAGATAGACTGACTTGCTGCAAGTTATTATAGTGGAAGTGGGAAAATTTTGCTAAACAAGTTTAAAGAAACAAAAGAATTGGAGGGACAGAAGGTGCACGCCTCTCTCCTGTGTGCACATACATATTTGTGGGTTTTTCTAATGTGTGTTTTATGCATTCCCTACGTGAAAGTTCTCCTAAGGCTCTGCGGATGTTTCTGGGTTAGAAATGTGAAGCGGGGTGAGGTGATGTCTTTGTTTTTCCTGGTGCATCTCCTGGGAGTCCGGATGATACGCATGGTAAATCTTTCACCTTGGCAGAAAGAGAAGGAAGTCTTTAATATTTAACCAAGGTTGTCTTTTACTGCACCATCTCTTGATAGGGGACTGCAGTTACAAATATCTGAAAGTGTGTTTGTTTCTGCTAAGAGAGGAGCGCTTGGAAGGAGAAAGGGATAATCCTTCCCTAAGGAATTGGCCTCAACTGCGCTAGAAGACAAGAGACTGTTTGAAAAATTGATCAGGTTAAGCCTGCATTACACTGAAATAGTTTAATACTTGCTTAAATAGGACTAGATGTGGTCCTTAAGGACAGTATTTAAAACAGTGGCTTTTGAATTGCTGCGAGTTGCTGTGTCTGTGCACTCGTTTTCCAAAATTCTCACACCAGACCATCAGTGATTCCCCATGGGGAGCAGTTTCCTGAACTCAGGGTATATTTTACCAAACTACTTGCACTTGTCTTCATGAAGTGTGCATTTGTTAATCATTATTATAATATTCTTTTGTGCTGGGCTTGTGCAATACCTAAGCAATCTATAGAAATAAGAGTACTGC